GGAGAATATTTTTTTTTTTTTTTGAATGGACAATTCCGGAGAATATTAAATATTCAATATAGCTATTTATCTAAACATTAGAAGAATACGAAAAATCTATTTGAACTTTGCACCAACTTTTACAACTCCAATGTACGTTTTTATAATTATTCCAACCTTCCCTTTTCCCCTCCAACTCTACACCTTCGAAAATCGTACAAAACTATCCAACTTCATAGTTTTTTCTTTAAAATTAAAATAAATAAATAAATAAGGTGTCAATGTTTATCATAATTGACCACATATTCAGTAAAATATCATAATTCAAAATTATATTTCAATTCATGTTTCATCATCCATCCATCCCATGAAATGAAATATCAAAATTGAACATAATTTTAAAATAGAAAAATCTCATCTCCTTACTCACTTATTTCAATACAACGAAACACGAAATGAAATATAAAAGTGGAATACGAAATCCAACTCATTGATAGATGAATTTTAACTGCTTTGTACGATAATAAAAAGTATTGATAGATGAAATTTTGCAGTTTTGTACCTGAATGCTGATAATAAACGGTTTTGTGCTCCTTAGCAGAATCTCACATGATCTGATTGAAAATAAAATATGTTCCTCGCTGTGTATACTCAAACAAAAACTATTGAATTATTATACTAAATAAATGCGTATATATAATAAAATGTTGTGGTGATAAGTCCTTACAGTTATTGATTAGGAACAAAACTGTTCAGACTCCCAATTTGATATAACTACTGAATTTTATGTTAGGTTTGGTACTATCACAGTTTTGATATAACTACTGAAATTTATGTTAGGTTTGGTGCTATCATTCAAAGAATCCCTCCCTGTTTTTCTAAATCCTATTTAATTGTGACATCTTATTATAAAAGTATACCAATTAATTAGTTTTTTAGTGAAAAAACACACACACACACACACATACACAAAAAGACAAATTCATCAGATCTCTTCATTACACAAGTACACCTTTTTCCTGAACCTCCAAACTATATGTCTCCGGCAATGGCTCCGGCAATGGCTGTGACTGTGACTTGATCGACTTCTCGATTGCCAAGCTCCGATTCCCCAAACAGAAGTAATTGTTCATCGACCTCAAGTTAAACGAGCCGAGTCTCCGCTTCATCTTCATTCCATCGACACTCGGTGATTGATTCGCGCTTACCGAAAGTGGGGACGTCCAAGAAGACTCGGAAAATGCACTGCAAGGTGAACCGAGGTTCGATTTTGGAAGCACCTGACGAACATCTTGGGCCCCGAACTTCTTCTTGTTACCCAATGGGCCTGGCCCGTTACTCTGCAAGGACATTATCCGTTTGTTGCTCAGTAGAGAAGAAGATTTCGGCCTCGAAAATTGTTGCCTTAGTGAAATCGGGCTGTCCCGTGAGCTCGAACCCATTGTGTATGACTTGAACGAAAGAGTATCATCTTCTCCCCCGAAATCGGACCCACTCGAGCTTTTCTCCTTTTTCCCGAGCCAACGGAGGAAATTTCCAAGGCGCGCCTTTCCTCCACTCGAGCTCGACTTCTTGAAGTAATGAGGCGAATTTATTACAACCTCGATTTCATTCGAGTAGCCGTCTTTTCCTACATCGTTTTCCACAAGTTCGGCATCCGGGATTTTGAAATAAGTCCCGGGACTACAAATCGATTGCGAAACCGGAGGAGACGCGACGGAAATTGAATCTTTCGATTTTCGCTCGGAAGAAAAAACACCGCCGGCCGAGACCATCCGTTTGATCAAAATCTCGGAGGAGGGCGTTTTCGTCCGTGCGAAAAGTAGATCGAGCGGGGTGTTCCCTTCCCAATCTCGGACGTTTAGATCGATGTATCGGACGGACAAGATTAGCTCGACGATTTCGGATGGAATGTCGAGGATTATAGCCGTGTGGAGTGGGGTCCGCCCGTTTTTGTTCGGGACATTGATGATGTCATCGAGTTTTCTCAAGATGACACCGTCGAGGAGTTTTTTCATGAGGTTCGTGTGGTGGTCGAGCCTTTGGAAATTCAGGGCTCGGAAGCCCGTGATTGCTGAGTGAAGAAAAGTGTCTCCATCAATGTTTGCAAACGAGATTAGCGAAGGAGATGAGGATATTAGGAACTCGAGGACGGGTAATCGGCCGTAGTATGCAGCCATGTGTAGGGAAGTATTGCCTCGGTTATCGACCGAGTTGATGATGTCATAGGATGATGTAAGATGTTTGACAAGCTGTATTGTGATGAGAAAAAAATATTCAAAATTAGCAAATGATGGTTTGATCTTCTTTGTAGAAAACCTCACATAATAGCTATTTGGTATGTGCAAATTGCAATGCACATCAGCCCACATATGAGTTCTACATGGCAAAAATGCAGTCTTGCTCTGAGTTAGATCACAAGATCTTGATACGTGGCTTGTGGATGAGCAATTCCGGGCAAAAATGATCATACACCATTCAGAAAATTATAGGAGTTTTGGATTTAGTCTACAATTTACCAGAAAAATCACTAAATAAATTGGTTAAATTTTCTAATAATCAATTGTTGGAAAGGAATTGGATAAAAATTTTAAATTTCGGGTCAAGTTTGCCAAGAAAAAGCTTAATTTTTTTCAGCTGGCAATCTGAAAATCCAGAGTCTATTTTAAAATTTCTGCTCAGTGTAACCAAATCTGAGACTTATGGTAAATACATTGATGACATAATTGAGAGTGTGAGACAAAATACTACGTACAAAGGTTTGATTTTTCTAAGCTAAAATGACTAAAATTTGAAATCTTTTCCAGGTATACACAAAAGTTAAAAAAGATGTAATTTTCATGATCATTGCTTAAGTACTTACAAAAAGAAAATGTAGCAAAATAATGGCACAAAAAGATAAATTGAGTAATGAAAACCACACACATAAGCAAAGCATAACTACCATACA